AAGGGAAATTCTATTTTGTTCCAGGTCAAATAACCCTCTAGAATTTGGGTTAGTGAGGGCAGAAAATATATTAATGCTAGCCGGTTTTGTGTAAAAACCCCAGCTGGCATCAACATATTTCCGGTCTAACCCTAAATTTTTACCAAGGGGTTATTTTGAAATAGCATTTCTCTTAAAAAAATTCCCAATATAATTTAGCCAAATCTACAGCCAGTTTTCGTGTATAGTTAGATTCAGTATTAGAAAAATAAAAATAGGTGAGACACTTTGTTTGTTAGCAAGAAAGGTTTCCTGTTGATTTGGTTTATAAGGTATGAAATTTGAGGTGTAAATCTTATATAAAGGTTGGTTAGTGATCTAGCTGATACTTCTTTTAATTTAGTTTCTGTAAGAGAAACTATATGCAAATTTGATGCTATACAGTATTCAATCCACGTTTGCATTTTTAGTATAATATGTCATTAATGCCTCTCATATTGTGAGTAATTATATTAATTTTTTTGTTTAAGTTAAATTCAAATAAACTTGATTCATTTTTATCTGATTGTGAAATAGTTGTTGCAGAGTTATTGTTGGTAGTTGGTGTATTTAGACTACTAGTTGGTGTAGTCATTGTTGGTAGTTGGGATGGGTGGCTTAGTGGCTTAGCATATGTGAATCGTGAATATGCGATCGCACTAAAATGTAAATGTTGCGCCTTGAGTGAATACATTCAAATTAAGGTGTATTCGCTTAAATTTGAGCGCAAACATTCTAAGAATTAAATATGTATATGAAGGTCTCTGAATTTAATAAAGAAAAGACAGTTCTCATCTATAATTAATTACCAATAAAACAAATAAATCACATAAAGTATCCACTTATCTGAATTTTCCCTTATGGATGATTCTTTAAATCCTACTTGTAACATTAATAAACCGATTGAGATTTAATTCGACAGACTAAATTAACTTGTAACTTCGATCTGGTTTATGAATTCTCATATCATAGTTATACATACTAGACAAATCCGGACAAATCTCAAACTTTAAAAAATAAATAGCATTTATAAAAAATTGAATCAAAAAAATAATCTTTAAATTTTGCAGGTATATTATATATAGAGATGGGTTCGGTCACGAATGGTCATAATCATTCATAGTCAATTTGCTAAATACTGGGATTATTTTTTACTTTTGAGCTTTTAATTAAAGTTGTTTAGAATTAAATTCTAATCATACCATATTATATGTGAAAAGAACGATACCTTCTCTGGAACTTGGAATTTCGAAATGTGTTATTGCCATGACCGGTTATTAACTGTTAGTTAATAACTGGTCATGACATTACAAATTTTGAAATTTTGAGTTCCAGAAAAGGTATCATTCTTTCCACATATAATATGGGATGATTAGAATTTTTTTGTATCATGTAAATTATATAAAAAATAATCTACATTTACTTTACTTTTAAATCTATATTAGAAGTTCATTGAGTAATTGAATAATGGTTAGATAATAAAAGATATGTTTTGCATCTTTGCCATAAAGTAGGCAGAGATAAAGTCATGTGATAAAGCGTTTTCAATAAGGTCATAAAAC